TTCACAGAAAAGCAGTAGGATAGACAGGAATGAACACTTATTAATACCTTGTTTGTTGTCTTAGAGTCAGTGATTATCATCTGTCTATGGTAATGGTGAGAACACTGTTTTCTTTTCCTTCAAAACTAAAGCAGGTTCCACACAAGTAGCTTTTATTATAAAAATAAAAAATAAAAATAAAGCAGGGAATGTGAACAGTAAACCCAAAGAAGGACATTACCTATCTATATTTAGTAAGAAAAATATTTTCTTGTATATTTTTTGAGCCATTTTTATGTATATAATCAGGAGAATTTGAGTTAACTTTTTGTTCTGCTTCTCATCATCCAAAGATACCTTTGAGATTATTTTTCCTGTTAGGTCCAAAGGCACTGCTACTTCACATTTCCAGTTTCATCTAAGTCCTATCTTCCTTGTATTTGTCGTCTCTTACGCTTCCAGCTCTATATTATGATACCTTTTGGCTATAATCTCAGAAGTCTTTCAAAAATGCAAAATTTTTCCTCCTATCACACAGTGTGAAATTGACTATTTTAATTTAAATTACTTTAAGTTATTTTCTCTACTTAGATTGTATATCTGACTAACTAGCTATGACTAAATATAGCTATATAATTTTACATGTACAGTTACTACTGAGATGCACACACACACACACGTAATCACATATCACTTGTTACCTGGGATGTAGGTAATATGTATAACTTGGGGAAAAAAACTACTCATAACTGAGTAATTTTAGCATTCTTTATGTTTAAATATATTATTTCATAAGTTTTTCTCCATATTTTTGTTAAATTTTTACCAACTACTTTTATTTATTAAATTAAAACACTAGGTTGAGTAAGTATTTTTAAGGATGGTTACATTTGAAAATATCACAGTTTTTTAAAGATTTTTAAAGATTTTGATCCTTTGAAAATTTTTTTTGATATGTAAAGGATATCTAATTTAGATGGTTTGTACTTGCTAAATACATTGTATTTCCTATCATTAGCAGTTTTTATACAGTTTTATTCAAATAGTAACTACTGAAAAATGCTACAACCTTCTCTAACTATAATGAGGCAGCTTTCTATAACTTTAAAAAATTTGGAGGCTGGGCGATACATACTTTTTTATTGTACTTTTAAAAAAATTATAAATATTTTACTGTTTAACTGCTAGGGCACTTAGAAGGTTTTATTTTTAACATGCTTGTTTTAGGAGCAAGAAAAAATTGTTTAAACATAGTATTTTCAAGATAACATATTAAGAAGCTAAAGAATTATAAATACATAATCAGCAAAGGTAAATACTGTGCTTGACTATGGTATGTACTTAATAGGATAAGTAGTTGAGAGAGAGATAGTAAAAATATAATGACCAGCTAAAACTTAGATTCTATTTACGTTCATAGTTAGATACACATTTCACAAAGTATGTAAATTAAGACATGGAGGTGAAGATGAGAAGATACTAGAGAAATTATCTTAATAATCTTAACTTAATCTTAATAAATATCTTATAGTCTTAACCACAGAAGCCTGGTTAAGATTAACTAGAAAGTCAGAAGATACCAAGGTTAGAAGATCTATCATTTGAAGGACGGAAGAAGCTATGTTAAAAATGTGAAATGGCTGAGCATGATGGCTCACGCCTATAATCATAGCACTTTGAGAGGCTGAGGTGTGAGTATCACGTGAGGCCAGGTGTTTCAGACCAGCCTGGGAGACAAAGCAAGACCCTGTCTCTACAAAAAATTTAAAAAGATTAGCTTGGTGTGGTGGCATGTACCTGTAGTACTAGCTACTCGGGAGGCTGAGATGGAAGGATCACTTGAGCCCAGGAATTCAGGTTCACAATGAGCTATCATTGTGCCACTGCATTCCAGCCTGGGGCACAGAATGAGACCTTGTCTCAAAAAAAAAAAAAAAAAAGTTTCAGATTAAGACAAAATTTGTCTAGGAAATTGAAAAGACTGCAGCAATGTAGGAAAAATTAATTCATTATGTTATAGTGGGACTAAAGAAATAATTAGTGATATGGAAAATAATTGCATCTCACAAGTTACGAAATGTCCTTTAATGTGGTTTAATAAAATGCTTTTACAAATGCCACCTCCCATAACTTATGAATATGGCTCTTCTATTATTTCCTTGGAAGCAGGAATCTTTTCTTATTGATAGCTCAATCCCTAATGCCTAGCTCAGGCTCTGACATGAATAGACTCTCACTAGTTGCTCACTGAATGAGATAGGCAATGGGACATTCAGGAGTAAAGCTGAATATTAGCAAAAGACAGATGAAGGAGACAGAACCCCCTCCATAGTAAGCACAGAACCAAAAACTAAGGAATTATATTACACAGACACACACAGAGTCACTAAGGCCTTCAGTATGTAAAATGTGGTTCTTAAGGGCTAATAAAACTAGGTTATTAAACCAGGCTGCCTTTGTAAATACCCATAGGACAATATGATCCCTATGGTATTTACATGAATGGTAGGAGGAGGAAACAAATTGTATTAGCAATAGCTGGAAGTATAAGTTGGCCGACAAAGTAATTAATCAGTGACCTGATTCTCATGATAAATTTTTTAGAGTATCTAATTAATATGACTAATTATCTCATCTTTGAAATGGGAATAATAATACAACCTCAATATTGTGAAGAATAAATGAGATTAAAATAAATTCTTTAACATAGGGTCTCTTATAAGTTGTTATGCATTGTTTCTGTGGAGTTTTTTCACATCTTTTAGAGATGCAGTTTTTATTTCTTTTTCAGGAAATGTTGAAGCCCTGGCTTCCCTAACTTTTTTCTCATGTTTGTCATCAGCTTGTCAGAAATTCAGCTATAAAAATATCTGGTGTTTCAACTGAAGTAGGTGCATGTTGTCATTTATGGAAATTTTTGAAGGTCAAAGTGATAAAAACTTTTTTCTTTTCTCACTATGTTCTAGCTATTTACATATCAAATTTGGGATAATTTACTAGGATAATTTATAAATTGACTTACATATACTTATTACTGTTCTAAATCTTTATTAGCTTGTTAATAACAATAAACATATAATAAATAGAAAAAATATTTTTCAAATAATTCCTAAACATTTCTAGAAATAGCTAGAGGCAAACTTCATACTTAGAAAGATTTTTTAAGTAATATGTATAATTTTTTTAAATACATGAAAATGTGGATAACTCTTGCTCATCCAGGTTTGTGTAAGTACTCTATGATGTTTGCACAAGGATGAAATCACATGATGTTGCATTTCTCAGAACATATCCATCATTAAGTGACACATGACTTTATAATATTTTTATATTAGGTGTTTTAAGTATAAAACAGAAGATACCTTTACCCCACTTAGGAGATTCACAGACAAAATAAGGATCACAAGAGCTTGTGTATTTAAAAGGCTGCTCAGTGTTTATTAAAGTCCTGCTGACCAGGCTGGGTGGCTCACGCCTGTAATCCTAGCACTCTGGGAGGCTGAGGTGGGAGGATTGCTTGAGCTCAGGAGTTTGAGACCAGCCTGAGTAAGAGCGAGACCCTGTCTCTATCAAATATAGAAAAAATTAGCCAGGTGAGGTGGTTCTCACCTGTAATCCCACGTACTTGCGAGGCTGAGGCAGGAGGATTGCTTGAGACCAGGAGTTTGAGGTTGCAGTGAGCTATGATGATGCCACTGCATTCTAGCTGGGGTGACAGAGACTCTGTCTCAAAAATAAATAATAATAATAATAATTTAAAAAAATATATGAAAACTTGTTTTTACATCAGTGGAATTATATCTACTTTTTTCATTCAAATATACCTCAACAGTGCCATTCCATGTGAATACTTTATTTTTTGAAATGACTATGTGTTAATGACTACTTCTTACTATAGATCTGGATTATGATTGATGAACATTTAGGTGCTAATTGGGTGATAATTAATTAAAATTTAAAATGTTAATAGATGTTGATAACTAAAACATGGCTTCATTCCACGAATTTAGAAATGTGTTGAATACCTACAATGTGCCCAACATGATCAATATTAGAAAATGTGGAGCAGACACAGGCCCTTCCTCTCTGGGACTTTAATATCTAGTCGTGGAGATACGACCTAATATGTAACCACTGGGAAACAATTTGACCGATGGGAATATATTATACAAACTGTAATTTATCTACTTTTATATTTTCTTTCACCCTAGCTCTTGCTCTTTCCATCTGGAATTTCAAAAAGAAAAATTGTTTCTTTTTAAAACTTTTTCTCTGCCCCACTCATGTTTAGTTTTTCTTCAGCCTTGAAATATCATCTATGGTAACTGATACATAAAGTTCTATGTAGGCATTTTACATATACAGAGAACTGTCTCTTTTTCATTCTACGTTTAACAAATATTTATGGAGTACCTGCTGTGTAAGGCCCTGTGCTTAGGCACTAGGAATACAATTGTAAACAAGACAGAGTTTGCAAACCCTTTGCTCAAAGAGCTCATATCTAATTGAGCAAGTTGTGGGGAAGATAAACAGGTGAGTTCAAAACAGTGCTGTAAGTACTATCATAGAGTAAACACAGGGTGCTGCAGGAAGAGTTGGCGATTTGGTAATATGTAAATGGGTAACCTAAACTTGTCTAGGGGGATAAGGTAAGTAAGGTATTGTGAAGTGTAGTGGTTTCTAAGCTTAGAACTCAAAGGCAAGTAAAAACAGATAAGGGGAGGAAGAAAAACTATTTTTAAAACTTGTTATTGTGGTGATGTGGTGTATATAATATACATTCAGTAAAGTGCACACATCCTAAATGTATAGCCCAATGAATCTTAACATACATATACACCTTTGTAACCACCATCAGATAAAGATTTAGAATATTTCTAGCACTGGCTGGGCACTGTGGCTCAGGCCTTTAATCCCAGTTACATGGGAGGCTGAGGTGGATGGATGTCTTGAGGGATCCAGGCCAGCCTGGGTGACATAGCAAAACATCATCTCAAAAAAAAAAAAAAAAAAAGAATGTTTCTAGCACTCTTGCGACCTTTCCCAGGCAGTACTTACCCCTTACCCCTAGATAACCATTATTCTAATATTTATTATGATAGATTGATTTTGCCCGTTTTTGATAACATAAATGTAATCATATAGTATTTACATTTTGTCTCTGGTTTTTCTGTCTTTCAATTTATATCTATAAGAGTTATTCATGATTTTGCAAAAAAATGAACATGATTTTTGATGGCTAAATGCACTAATCTCTCTCAGATATGTACTTAAGCAGAAGTGGAATTACTGAGATACAGGGCAGTTGTATATTTATACCTGTGGCGGCCCGGATTGCAGAACGGGGGATGGACACAGAAAGAAACACACAGACACACACACAAGACGTACAAGACTGCAGTGGGGATTCCACCAGTAGTTTTATTTATATATACTTTTTCTATGTCCGGCAGCTATTTCCTGGTATGTGACTATCTTGGGCGCCTTGAGGAAAACACATTTTCATTCCTTCCAGACGATTGCTTAAGGGAAGCAGACGTTTGCATCTTAACTTTTTTATCTCATTACCGTATGCAGGACAATGAGACGCCTTGGCTTGTTTGCAAGACCCCAGGCGCTTGGTTATCTGTCATAAAGCTATCTGTCATGAGGAATAGTTCTGTTTGGTCAACAGGCCGTGCCCAGGCCTATTGACCTCTGGTGCCAAGGAGAGCACACCCAGTTTCGCTGACTCTGGGCTTAAGCCAATTTTCCCCAGGAACGGTCCCTACATCACCTACCAAAATAATTATACCAATTTATACTCCCACCAACAGTGTATGAGAGTTCCAGTTGCTCCACTGTTTTGCTGACACTTGGTGTTGTCAGTCCTTTTAATTTTAGCCATTCTGGTTGTTAATATAGCGGAATCTCATTGTGGTTTTGTTTTGTTTTTTTGTGTGTGTGTTTTTTTTTTAGAGACAGAGTCTCACTCTGTCACCCAAGCAAGAGTACAGTGGTGTGATCATAGCTCAATGTGACCTTGAATTTCTGAGCTTAAGAGATCCTCCCAGCTGGGACTACATGCTTGTGCCACCAGGCCTGGCTTCTAATGACTTTTGATGTTGAATATCTATTTATATGCTTATTGGCCATTTGGAAATCTTTATTTGTGAAACGCCTATTCAAGTTTTTGCCTATTATTTTATTGTATATTGTTTTCCTAAGAAAGACATTTCAGGGAGAGGGAGTAGTAAGAAAGCATAGAGGTTTTTTTTTTTGTTAGATGGGCAACATAAACAGAGAGCCTAGAGCTTCTTGGAGTGTAAACTGCAAGGGGGGAGGAGATGTGGAGAGCTAATATTGTATTATCACTGTTTTGCAGATAAGGAAACTGAAGCATAAAGAAGTTAAATAGCTCGCCCAAGTGAGGGGCGGAGTCAGGATTTGAAGGCAGGCTCCAGTTTCTGTGTTCTTTTTTTTTTTTTTTTTTTTT